TATGTATATTATGTAGTTTTAGGGTTTTTTTTCGCTACACTCCGCGTGTGCCCAAATGGAACTGTTTATGCTGAACAATCTAGGCTCCTGTATACCAAAGCTCCCATATTGGCCAAATTTTGCAGCGCAAAATTACCCCAATTTTTCAGCGTAAAATTACCCCCATTGCAAGAAAAATATTGTGATACTAAAAAACTTTCCAAAAGTTAACCTGAACAATTTAAACATACACCAGATTACGAGGAAAGATCATATAAAGTTGTGTTATAAACATTTAAGCGATTGGACAGAAATTTAAACTTAACTCGTAGCGGAAACGACATGGATTTCTTAGATCAACGTACATGTATCACAGTTAGCTAGTGACCATGGTCACTAGCTAAAAGGTACAAGCTTAATTGCGGTACACTTTAGTCCCCGTATACCCAAAGCAACGTTTCCAAGTTTGCAACATTCAAAAAATGTATTATTTACTTCATATCTGGAAGAATTGTTTATGCGTAAAATTACCCACCGGGCAAAATTCCCCCACCTTCCCCTATATCCATTTGTAATAGTTTACTGGTAAATTAGGGCCTACTTAAAAGAATAATTTTACCAGTTTCGCTGATGATACGTCATTTATTACTAAGTGTTAGAACTTGGTCACGGCTACCCTGATAGCACACTTTATTCTAAGAATGTTTTTTAAACCTTCCAGTGAGAATATTCTTAGGATCATGCTATATTTCTTCTAAATAACATGCTTAAAAGGTGCAAAGTTTTAGTGGTAAAAATTAGTCTACTCTTAACATATGCTTAGAATGTTAAGAAAGTAATTGCTATAGAAAGTTCATTTAGGAATATTCCTGGTAAGCATATTTAGTTCAGTTACCTATATAATAGTAAAATATACCATAAACTACCTATAAAGGTATATACCTATACTAAAGTACCTAATTAGTAATTAGTATTAAATACTAAGTAAAAAACACAATCCAAAATATTTTTTTTTAGTTATTTGTCAAATTAAAACAATATTCGATAACATGTTAACAAAAATACTTTTACTACAGGTATTTTATTTTATGTTAAAAATAAATATTTATTTTGTCATATATATTATGTCATATTATGACAGTGAGGCGTATTTGCCTCCTGAAGAATTTTACGAATGTAGAATAAAACTTATTAGAACGTGGGTATCTGACATATTTGGAAATATTCTCAAAAGCTTCCTAGAAGCTCCATAAGAAACCTTCTAAGAACATTCCAAAAACGTATTCTTAAAATGTTCTTAGGATGCTTTTTAGGAAGGTTTTAAGAAGCATTTAAGAATCTAATTGCATCATTAAAAGGGTATCTATTGAATGTTTTAAAAGTCCCTAAGCACATTCGTAGCAATAAGGGAAGGATCTAAGAATATTTCATTATTCCGGGTCATATCTTCTTAAAAGATTCTTAAAATCATATTTGGTATCAGGATATTAACCTAAATGATGAGGCACAATCGAAAGCTGGTTTGGCTCAAATGGCCTCTGTTTAAATGTTGATAAGATTGTAAATATGGTGTTTTCTCTTCGACCTTATAACAAAGAAGACTATTTACAGAGTTCTAGCCCTGATAGCAAAATTTGATTTTAAAAATCTTCTAAGAAGATATCACCCGGAATAATGGAATATTCTTAGAACCTTCCCTTATTGCTAAAAATGTTCTTAGGGACTTTTAAAACATTCAATAGATACCCTTTTAATGATGCAATTAGATTCTTAAAAGTTTCTTAAAACCTACTTAAAAAGCACATTTTAAGAATATGTTTATGGAATGTTCTTAGAAGGTTTCTTATGGAGCTTCTAGGAAGCTTTTGAGAATGTTTCCAAATATGTCAGATACCCACGTTCTAATAAGTTTTATTCTACATTCGTAAAATTCTTCAGGCGACAAATACGCCTCACTGTCATAATATGACAGTGAAATGTATTTGTCGTCTCCTTAAATTTTGCGACATAATAATATATATTTATTTAAAAATATTAAATAAACAATTTGACCTCTAAACCATAACTTTCATGACATTATTTCATACAAAGTAAAATTGGAAAATTTTGTGGGATAAGTCAGATAAGATTGAAGTTGAAGATAGTTAGGATTATTATACATAAAAATGTTAATTCAGAAATAAAAAATCGGTATACAAATTAATAAATATTTATTTTTAACATAAAATAAAATACCTATAGTAAAAGTATTTTTGTTATCCATTATTGTTTTAATTTGACAAGTAAGTAACTATAAAAAAATATTTTGAATTGTGTTTTTTACTTAGTATTTAATACTAATTACTAATTAGGTACTTAAGTATAGGTATATACCTTTATACTTAGTTTATGGTATATTTTACTATTATATAGGTAACTGAACTAAATATGCTTAACAGGAATATTCCTAAATGAACTTTCTATAGCAATTACTTTCTTAACATTCTAAGCATAATATGCTATTAATATGTTAAGAGTAGACTAATTATTACCACTAAAACTTTGCATATTCTAAGAACCTGCATATAGGCCAGTTAGAATATTCTTAGGATCATGCTATACTATGTCTTTTAAGCATGTTCTTTAGAAGAAATATAGCATGATCCTAAGAATATTCTGGAAGGTTTAAAAAAACATTCTTAAAATAAAGTGTGCTATCAGGGAGGTACTTTGGATTAATGCTTGATCATAAGCTGGTATGGAGGAAACAGGAAACTTTCTTCTAATAGCCTATCTACATCTGTACTTCGTTACGAAGTCTTCGTACATTATATTTCTTTGTTATCCAATCTAACTTACAAATCCTAAGGTCTATTTGTTTGGAGTCATTCTGTTTCCAGGGATAGATCTAGAATGGAGAGAAGCGCTGTAAGGATAATTAGTGGGCTAGGATACAGAGATGTGTGGAAAAGTATATACTTCCTTGAGAATTCCTACATTCCCCTGCCTCTATATATTGAATTTCTTAAAGGGTTTTATGAACCGTTTCATTGCTGTAAACTCTATATATAAACATTACATCAGAAACTGCGAAAAAGTCTACCCTGACAAATTTATATGAGTTTATAATGACATTATATAGACAAGTTCTACGCAAGCAGAATTTAAATTGAAGTTTGCGAAAAAAGTTAGTTTTTAAGTGTGCCCCCCAAATTAAGATAATTCATATTAAAGTGGTACAATATTTAATTCACTGAAGTTTATCAAAAAAATTCAAATTTTATTAAAAAAATTCAAGAATTACAGGTTTTATATATATAAACGAATTACACAGATATTTTTTTTAAATACACCCCTGACCACACTGCACTGCCGGATTATTAAGGAATGTGATTTATCGTCCGTGTAAATAATAATAAAAGGGTTATAATTCGTTGCTTGTAAAAATTCAAATTCATCTCTCGGCCTAGGGAGCTCTCATTCAAACCACTTCTGAATTATTGCGCGTAAATCTTAATGGTATAATATTCAATTAACATTTTTACAATTATTATTACCTTTAACATGTAATGTATACAGGAAGCATGTAGGTAGATACTTGATTGTTGGTTTATGTATAGTATACATGCCCCTGAAGTATGATAAAAACTTTAGCTGTTTTCATTTTTTACTTTAATATGTTGGTATACATTGTATACCAACATATTAAAGAAAATTTTATGACAACCGGACCCACCTAACCCGCGAAATTGTCGTTTATCACACAAGCTACTGTGACGCGCCTTGGAGGGAGGCGAGGCCACGCCCCATATATATTTAGATATATTCGGTTTTATTCTGAACGGGCTGTATATAACTTTGTCCTTTCTTTAACGCGTTTAATCCAATACTCTGCCTTCACGCAGCTGTTTTGATCGCTTCTCCACAACTGATACTAAAATATTCTTAATTTAATTTAATAGTTTATGCATGGGTTGTAACAATACTTTGCGCCTGTCATCCACTTGGTTAAAATGGATCTGCAAGTGTTACACAAATCATTCGGAGTCCATTTTTTTGTGAGAAAATTTTACATACAAATTGACTTTAAACTAATGATTTAAACGATTCGTACAAATAGCATATCCATAACTTTTGCGTGAATTTTTAAAAAATGCAAACGTACACGAAAACTAATTTCAATAAACCAAGAGCGAAATATATGGCGCGCATAAACGACGGTTCGAGCAGGTTTCCAAGCCCAGTAGTTGGCGCTATAAGCCCATAAAACCCTCGCAGTATCGCATAAAGATTAAAAACGACAATTTCAATAATCCGTAATCATAATTTTATAAATGATCATAAAACGAATTATAATGTGTAAAGTGATACTTACTTGGAATTTATCATTTAAGTATTACATGCATGTGGTAAAAGTGTAAAGAATTTTAATTTAAGTTATTAGTTACGCAGGAATGCAATAAAAACAAATTGTTTTAATGTTTTCGAAGTAAAAATTAAGTGGTAAGTTTTAATAAAATACATAAAATTAAGGCTCAATTTTATTTAAACTTTAATTAAATAATTAAGTAACGAAACGTCCAATTATTGCAAGTAAAAAGTGAGGTTAGATAGATCTTACAGATATGGAATTTTTTTATTATTTTCTTAAAATATTATAACAAAAATAAGTTTAAAAAAAACTTGTTTTCAGATTTGATTGCTAAGTTGAACGTGTTATAAAAATCAGATTTATATTTCATTTCAATTTCTACTTTTCAACAAATTCTTTGGTTATTGATTCTACAAAAAGGTTTGTAAAGGTCCTTTTTGAAAATTACAAGAATTATCCTTGAATTATTCACAGGATTTTGTTATTAAATCTACAAAATGTTTGCAAAAATTACAAAATACTTATTCAATTAGTTAACAGATTACAGTTGCTTGTAAACTTAACATAGTTAAGTGAACCTGGATTAACAAAAAATCTTGTTATTTGACAATTTGGTAAATTTGCTAATGGAAATTGTATTTAACTCAAACCCAAAAATATTTTTACAAAATTTTATTTTTACACTTACAATCTAAAATCATATTCTAAATCATGACAAAGTTCTTCTCTGCTTTGCGATCTTCCTGTTCTAAGGTCACATAATAGTTGTAGTTTACAGTCTTGATCGCAACCGGGCTTCGTTGGGCTATCTCTGTAATAATTTCTGAAAAAAAAAACATTTAAAAATAAAAAATATATGCATACTGGTATTTGTATTACTTATAAAAGTAGTCAAATAAATCTTCGTTTTCGATCATATTTTCAATTAATTTGGACCATTCTGAGGCTCTAAGGGATTCCATTCCGTATGCACTTTTAGCCGAGTAAAGTCTATACCATTTTGGTTCGGAATTTTCTCTGTTGGCTTCGTCCAAGTCGAAGGTCCATGTTTCGTGGTCCATAACTTCCTATAAAAGTGGAACATAGTTCTAAAAATGGTTTATGGACTGATCAGTTAACAAGGGACCGATTATTTTTGGTACCTATACTTTTTAAACTACCATAACCACAAATTACAAACCACCACCACAACATATAAGAAACTCGCCTTACCTAAATTTCGTTTAATAGTAGTTGTAGATGGGATATCTTTTAATGTTAAAAATTAATTTATCCATTACTTTTCGAACTTACCCTTGTATCATTAGCATCTACATAATAAATCCTGTAGGCAGGATTATAATTTTCGTAGGTGGTAACCGACGGTCCCAAATAGGCGACACTTGTAGCCCTACCTGCAAATGGGACCTTGGATTTATTTCTCTTAAGCAAATATTTTCGCCAATAAGGGAGCTTCTTTTTCTTACTGTTTTTCGGCATTTCGTAGAAAACTTCGAACTCGTCCGCGTGACTGTGGCCGTAATATTGAGCCACGATGGTGTTTTCGAAACGGTTCACGATCACGTTGTAGTTCTTGGACCAGACTTTCATGCAGTCGGAGCTTCCAGGAGGAATGTGTCCTGAAATTATAGGTAGGCGTGTTTAAAAAAGAATATTGTTTTGAGCAAGGATTACACTATGATAGTTTGAATTACTAACACACCTACAGCCCGTTCAGAGTAAAACCGAATATAGGGAAACGTATCGGGCGTGGCCTCGCCTCCCTCCAACGCGCGACACAGTAGCTAAACGAATGTAAATGAGATTTTTTGCATTATTATCATTTAATTTTCAAGGTCGTCTTACCTGCTCGACCTTTCGTCATGTCGTTTATCACACAAGCTACTTTGACGCGCGTTGGCGAGGCCACGCCCGATACGTTTCCCTATATTCGGTTTTACTCTGAACGGGCTGTATATTACCTAATTTTGGGCCGCTGATTTCAAAAATGCCACTCGTTTTGCTCCATGGAGCAGGACGTCTAGGATTCGAAATAATTGCGTAATAAAATGCTCTGCCCAATTATCTCAAAATGAAAGTTTTTTGTTAATCTTTTGATTATTTATTAAATTATTTTGCCTTAAATCTATTTTGGATGTTCAGTATATTTTTAAAATATACATGGACTCCATACAAAGTCATCGGTAGATAAATGTCAAATATAAATTTTATTTGTTCCATTGTAGCCGTATACCATAGTAGTATTTTATAAGGGATATTTAATAAAGCACTTTTCTGTAGAGAAGTGATTAAATACAAAAACTAAAATTATAATGTTTTTTTGGTAAAAAGTATCATTTTTTGAAATTTTTGTGTCGTTTTTTTAATTACTAATTAAATTGAAAAGGCAAAAAAGTAAATGGGTTTCGGTATAAGCATTATTCTTCGACTAATATTTGATATTTTTTTATTCACATCATGCCTAAAGTACCCAAAAATTTAATCTACAATCATATTTATTAAGTCTTAAAATTTTATATCGAATTGAAGTATAAAGGCGCCTTTATCTACTTTATCGTTCAAGCACATTAAAGTGCATCTATTAATTATTGACATTTAAAATTTAAACATTTAATTGTATTTTTACTTGAAAGTGATTTTAAGAACCAAAAATTAAAAAAGAACAGAAAATGGAAGACGAACATTTATGTCGTCGTTGTAAATTTGTTTTGTTTTTGTTGCGGTACCTTTACGCCCGAGAAAAACCAACGCAATATTTCATTACAAAATTTTATGAAATATACCTACTACTTTAACTTTTCAGGAATATTAAATGGACCTGATATACGACGTTTAATGAAAGAACAAGCATTCAAAAATGCTCTCAAAGTTGACGAGCTTGTCGCATATGGCAGTGTTAAAGCTGTCATTGAAACTGTTCTTGGTTCATATCGAGCCTAAAATTGGCGCCAATTCATTGAAAAAATGCTCTCCGTTTTGTAAAGAATTAGCGTTAATATGTCATTTAAAATACATTTTCTTTTTTTTTTCATCCTGATAAATTTGCCGAACTGATGAACATGGATTCATTGCTAGGAGACATTCGTAAGTAATATCATAAGGGCATTTAATTTTTCCGAAAAGAATCGAAAAAACACGTTGCTAAGTAATATTTTAACAAAAAGCATGAGTGCTGGTGGCAACAAAAATCCGAGTCGAAGAGGAGGATTTTTGCACCTGCACGAATGCATTTTGTTAAAAAATATTACTTAGCATTGTGTTTTTTCGATTTTTTTCACAGGAAAAATTAGATGCCCGAATGGTATTTGACAAGACTATTTCATGAGTAACATTTAACAATTAAAATATAAATTGCAATTTTTGGTGACAACAGCTGTCAAGTTTTGCCGCGGGCACGGTCTTATATACAGGTCCTGCAACTTTAAGCTTCGAGGTGGCTTCCTTAACGTGCCAAGCCGCTAGGTGGCGCTAAGATCGAAGGGGTAAAGTCAATTAAACTACTACTTAGTTAAATGTGGAACTACTGCATAACCATAACCTAACTTTTTAAATTCTTTTTCTATGTTTTGTTTACATTTTCAAAAATTTAATATTTGTGAGTTTGTTTTGGATAATTTACGTTAACAAAATAGGACAACAAAGTCTATACTCTATGCACAAAGTCCTCGGCCGTCACATGCCCAGACCAAACATGTACATAAGTAAAACATGTTAATGTATAAAATACATACGTATATCATATATATGTTACGGCTAATGTGTAAACATGGATAGTTTATAAAGTAGCTGGGTAGTTTATAAACTAGCCAAACTGTCAGCTATTTTAATTGAAAACGTATTTTTAACTAAATTAGCGGCTAGTTTGTAAACCAACCAAGGGTCTTGGCTAATTTACTTGAAATTATTTAGGAATAGCTGGATAATTTGTAAACTATCCAATTTAATTTGGCTAATATGAAAACCAAAATTTCTAGTAACACAACATAGCCAAGCTTTAGATAGTTTACAAACTAACCAACCAATATTCTGGCTAATTTATTAATAACTTATTTTTTTATTGTCTTGGCGGGGATGGGTTGATTGTTTATTTAAAATAATATATATTTCACCAACACGATGTGCTTAATTATAAATTAATCATACAAAATGTGAAGGTTTCAATAGTATGTTTTTTATTGCACATTGCCATGTTTTTAACTGCTCCTTATTTGTTGGCACTTTAAACATGGACCGCTTAATTTTAATGCCGGAACGATGGCTTTGCTGGTTACATTTTGGCACAACACAGGACTTCATGTCTATTAAAAAGCACAAATACAAATGTATAACAAGAACAAATATAACAAAAACAAATATAACAAGAACAAATATAACAAGAAAAAATAGAACAATACAGGGGCGGATCTAGAATGTGTCATTGGGGGGGGGCGAAGTTGAAAATTTTTGTAAATATTAAGAAAGTTGAAATTAAAGTTATTCCATTTTTTTATTATTTTCTATATTAATTTAAAAAGTTATGTTCAATTTCAACTTGATAACTTACTTCCGGGGGGGGGCGATCGCCCCCATCGCCCCCCCCTTGGATCCGCCAATGGAACAATATAATATAACAATAACGAATATCACAATATAGTCCGGTCAAATTAGACATAAAAATAGTGGTTAAATAACAAAAATTCCGACAGAGCTAAATTTTGGTAGAGACCTTGGGTACACCAGTAGAAATAAAATGCCAAAAGTCCCCATTGATCCCATGTGTGCTAAAAAAGTTACTCAAGGTCAAAGTTAAAATTTTCTTTTTTTTTATTTTTCTCGAAAACGGTAAGTTTTATCAAAAATATAGCCCAAACAAAAATTGTAGATCATAAAATTATCTACAAAAACTTTTTTCATACTTTTTTTCCTAAGAATCACCATTCCTAAGATATCGCCATTCTAAAAGTTCGAGGAGTTACATTCTACATGATATGCACACATTTCCACGCCACCTATGAGGTGAGGATGATTAGTGATATTGATATAGGTGATTATTTTACACTGTAGTTATATTTTACGTTAATATTTTAATCTGATTCATACTCTTCAAATTCCACTTCAACAGTCATGTCTTTTTCCTCTTCTTTTTGCTGGATGTCCATAAATTGTTCAACTGAAGATGAATCAGCAGTCTCTTCATCGATATCAAACGAATCTTCGTCTATATGATTGGATTAAACATTCGAGCAAGACTGGCCTTGGCAATTAGTACACGCTGGTAAACACGACAATCCTACTCTTCTACAGCCACATTTAGCACTACAAACCTTTTTACAATCGCAAAAATAGAGTTTTTCCGCTGCAGGTGGGAGAATAGTTTGATTCGATTCCAAAATATTGTCTGTTAATTTCCAACCCCAGTCTTCGGGGTTTAGTTGATTGCCTAGCCATGTCTGAACCTGATAAAATGCTCGATACAAGTGTGTGGAAGCTGATGTTGGAGGAAGACAAGATATATCTATACAACTATAGTTGTACTTGTTTCTTGTTCCGTGTATTTTTTTACAAAAGTTAAATATCTATACTTGTCTATACAATCAATTTTTTTTGGAGCTCCATAAACAGCAAGGAGAAAGCGAATTCCTTTTGTAATTATCGTTTGAGGAGAAGATTCAATTTCTTCAAATACTTTAGCGCAATCAATTAAATCCATATTTTCAAATAATTTTAATACTGATGTTTTGCCCCTTCTGAACATTGTTGATGTAGTATCGCAGCCGGTTATCGCATGTAAAAATAAAATATGGTTTTGGCATTTTGGATAAGCAGATAAACTTTTTGAGGAGTATATTTCTGTTCGCTGTTGAGCCTTTCCAGGTTTTAAAAAGAAAATAATTTTATCAATTGGAGTCCGTGCAGTAAGTAGTACTAACAAATCAACATCTTTACGAACCACAACGGTTGTATTTGTTGCATTGAGTTGTTCAATTGCTGTTTCTTTTTTTTTATTTAAGTTTTTTTTATCAGACCAGGTTTGACTTAAAATGTCTTGGTAATTGTCGACGAAACAAATAAATGTTAATTTTCCCGGCTTTTCTGTAATAATAATTCTACTACCATTCTTTACTTTTAATCGTGTTTTTATAGTTTTCTTATCTAAAGCTACATTTTTACTAACATTCTTTTGTTCGTCCAATGTAAACAGGCAATCATCACTACTTTCTATAAAACTATAAATTTCCTCCATCGCCTCTACTGCCAGTATTAGGTCTCAGGAAAGATTTGTAACAATTGTCATGATACTTGGCCTCAGCAGCAACTAAATCATACTCAAAATTAATGCGCTCAGTGACAGCTTTTGATACGTAATCAGAACGATCCTGAGCTACTGTCAAAACGTATTCTTTAAATGAAAGTGTAGCAACGTTATACATTTTTTGTCGACGATGTAGCGATTTTTTTTAGCCTCTTCATCCGCTTCATCGCCGGCGCAACATTTTTTAAAACAAAAGTCGGATTCACTTTCTCGTGCTCTAGTACGAGGTGGACTTACTTTTGATGTACTAGCTTGTCCATCCTTATGTTGTCTTTTGATAGCAGCAATTACATTTTTCCGGGTGTATGATTTTCGGCAATCCACGTG